TCACTGTCTGCTCGCGTCCCTCCCTAGCCAAAACACACCCAGGCACACAACTCAGTCTCCACCACCCACATCCACCCTCACGCTTTCTCCTACATACCCAGCCATGACCCAAACTCGCCTACCTCCTGCAGCTGCCCCTCTATCACCTCACGCTGTGAGCCACTGCACTAGACAAAAGCATCTTATATATAGGCTGCAGTTTAGTAATATGCAACAAGATGGGGGAGGGGACGGAATGCCTAGCCATTCTAGGTGTTCTAGTGGCCCCCTCTGTAATTAGTATTTTACTATATGTAAACCACACAATAACCAAAATCTTTAAACCCTGCATTGTAATCCTTATAGAGAATAAACTTTGATTTGATTTGATTTTAACCATTCGCAGTTCAGGATAATTTTGTAGACTTTTCTGGTGAAAAAGACATGTGCAGCATTTGATCTAGTTATATAGCTACTTAGCTTCCTGTTTAGTACCATGAAGTGTCATCTAGACCCTAGAGACCTTTACAAACTCAAGTTACCTCTATTGACATGCATATACCAAACTCATTTACTGCACTTCCTTTAAATAAGGAATAAGAAAAAAATAATTATTTGTTATAATAGTGATATAAGTATAGCTAGCAAATGACGGCTTCTAGGATCTTCTGGGTACCAGGCTCTTGCCATGATGACAGTACTTGGAAGACACGCAGAATTCTCATGTAATATGCACTGAATAGATAACACACACGGTACCTGCAAAAGAAACACTGTAACTGGAAACGTGGGCAAATATGTTGAACTTCATAACATAGTCAACTAAGAAGAAAGACTTAACGCAGCGAAAGCTTTTGTTCGTTAGGTATTGTACTCGCGGGTGATGGCACTATCATCCTTTGCAGACAATACTAGAACTTACATGAGCGGCAGCCATCGTGAATTTAGCAGACCTTCAGGCTGATGTAAATCAAATTTCAGCTACTCAGTTATTGAAAAATTTAATAAATATAACCTGGAACAGAGAACTAAGTGCAGTCACACCACTCAGTTGAGCAGAGTAACCGGTGAGGGGAGGGAAAAAAGGGAGTAGCAGCCAAGCTGGACCATTTAAACTTCAAGAAATGGTGTTACCTTTACTGCTGTAAGGAAAATTATAGATACAAAAAATCTGCGATGACAGTCTTAAAATGGATTAGTGTCCCATTGCATGTAATCCAGAGTACAGAGCCGGAGAATATGTAGAGGACTTTTACTTCCTGTATCAGTTCAAACGCATATTGGGATGCGTAAAATCTGTCATTTTTTTTTTCTGGAATTCAAATAAACATAAGTTACAGCAGAAAAATACTAATTACAGTGGTTCCACATCTACATTCTAAGGTTTGAAACATAAGAATGGAGTCACATTGCTAGGCAGTGCACTGCCTAAACAGGCGGGGTGCATTATGTAGAGGTGGAGTAGCAGCGTTAACTACTGTAGTCGATGGGGCTTTAAACTGAAAGGGAGATATGAGTGTTTATATGGATTTTGGAAATATAAACAGTTATCAAGAGAGTAAAGTAAAATGTTTAGATATTGATGATTACAGCAAAAATATTGAAGAGACAGAGATAAGAATTATTCAGTTCACTGATGCCAGAATTATTCTCCTTTCCAAAGATTAGGACTTACCATTATTCCACATTAAACTGCATCTGCCATTTTTACCACCATAACATTATTTTTTCCAAATAATTGTTTAGTTGTAAAGATACTTTTTCATCTGTTTTAATTCCTTCACCAACGCCATTATTATAGATTATGAACAAAGAGGGTAGCAATTATCGTTGTGGAACACCACTTGCAACTGGTACCCATTCAACATCGTCATTCATGCAAACTCTCTACTGCCAATTAGTGAACCATGTTTTAACCCTTGAGAAGACTTTATTTACTGTACAGTGTCTAGCACCTGGAGTGTTTAGTGTCAACTCCCATGCGACCCGGTCCTGGACCAGACCTCCCAGTGGATGACCTGATCAACCAGGCTGTGGTGATAGCCGCACGAAGTCCAACCTACGTAAGCACTATAGCTTAGCTGATGGGATACTGATTTGAGAAACTTGTCCAGTTCCATCTTCAAGGTACTTGCTTTCTACTAAGCCGCTACTTTCGTGAGGAACGATTCGTGTGTGCAGATTTGGGACCAGTCCTCCTTGAGTTTTCAGAGTGTAGATTATAATGTACTCCTCAATGTTCATAGATGTACAGCTCCAGGACTGCAAATGTTTTCAGTAATTTAGGCTCTTTGCTGAGCCTATACGACCAGTGAAGGCTCTCTGCACATTCTCCACATCTGCAGTTTTGCCTGCCTTGAACGGAGCTGTTTAGAGTACATCAGTACTCCAGCCTAGAGATAAATGACGTGAGGAGCATCATCATTAGCTTGGTACCCCTTGTTTGAAGGTTCTAGTTATCCAATTTATCATTTATCATTACTCTTACGCTCTATTGAGTGATTCGAGTTTTTTTTTTTTTTGCAGTAACTGTTGCACATGTGTCTTATCTATTTGTCAGTATTGTTTACCATTATTCATACCTGAGAAAGTGAAAGTTGTCCTCTTTGAACATCATGTCTGAGGCTCATCGGAACACTTGATTTATATTCACTTCAAGAGTCGTATAAATTCTGGTGTCATCATCAAAGGATGTTAAGGTGTTGTGATTAATATCATTGTCTTTGTCGGATCTAAATATGAGAAACAAAAGTGGGGTGAGTACTGTCTTTCACTGTGACAGCCTCCGACTTCACTCTGTTTACCACTACTATCTGGGTTCTATTTGTTAAACTAGAGAGTCGTATGCCCATTTTACCAGTTATTCCTTTTGCATTTATGTGCTAAAGTACCATGGTCGCACTGGTAGAAAGCTTTCGAAGAATCAGTGTATACTACGTCAGCATTTAACTTGTCTTTCAGTGCAGCCAAGACCACTTCGTAATTTTTTAGTAATTGTGAAAGACAGCAGCGACCTGCTTTAAACCTATGCTGCCTTGGATTATGGAATTGTTGCGATTCCGTCTGGTTGACAATCTTGAGTCTTAGGACCCGTTCAAAGGTTTTGATAATGCGTGAAGTTAGCGCTGTAGTTTATCGTGAATGATTTATTGCCACCTTTGTGAGGAGGGGTAATATTAGTAGCTTTGAATGACTGGGACGACACGTGTATTAATTTCAGTGTGAGCCTGGCCCAAGACCGCGCTTTGGAAGTAGAAAAAGTCTCGGAAGTCGTCAAAGGTATGTGCGCCCATTTCACAGCTTCCAAATTATGGAAATTTCCCAGAGTACAACTATAAGTAATTTAAACCAGCAGACATGTACTGACAGCTCTGCTCAACCACTTGAAACTTTCTTAACATCCTTCAAGTATAAGTGGCAATTAACAACAGAATAAGTTTTTACCGTTTAATAATATATAAATTAAGAATATTCTCGGGACTTCAGAATGAAAATCTTGTTGAATGTTTTACATATACGAACACTTAAAATAGTAAGAATATTATACAAACTGAGACTTCATTCAGTTTACACATAACTTTGCTTTCCTGTCTCTCTAATTATACTTCTTAGATGTTTTAACTTTTATTTTTTTTATTTATAATGTTTTGTGAGACTGGGGGGCCGTGGCTGGCAAGAAAAACTTTTCACTTCATTAAGAAAGATCATTTGACATATGAATGGAAAATAGTAAATATTTGTCAATAATATTTGTCAATAACATGTTATTTGTAAAAGTGTAATATTAACAATCCTTTAGCTAATTGTGTTAGTTCGACTAAATAATAAGTCATGTATTTTCAACATCAGAGGACAATTAATTAGCAGGAATTATTGCTTTAAAAGGACATGTATATACATAAATTAAGTTCATAGTGGACATGTTTATCACCAGTCAGAGGACATCTATTGTTCACTAGTCAGAGGACATGTATTAATCACCAGTCAGAGGACATCTATTGTTCACTAGTCAGAGGACATGTATTAATCACCAGTCAGAGGACATCTATTGTTCACTAGTCAGAGTGACATGTATTAGATCCATATAAGGTCCTGTTTTGGTAAAATTAAACTTAAAGTACTGAGATATACACCACTTTAAGTATACATACACAAATGCACTCAGTGCATACAGTCATATATTTATTAAAATATATAAAGATATCATAGAATTAGATAAAACATTTGTTGTATAGTGCAACTGCAATATGTAGTATGCAAAATGAAAGTTTGCATTTAGATATTCTAAATCTTTTATATTCTGATCTGTTGAGTTTTTGGATTGTAATAATTATTCAAGAACAAAATGTAATTTATAAAAAGATTTTGATACAGCCTTATGATAGTAGCATAATGGATAAGCAAGTGAAGTAGATGGTTGCGTGTAGCAGGCGGCCCACTGCTGTGCCCTTCAACCACATCACTTACAAATAAGTTGGTTTTATAATAAGTACTTTTGTGACATGGTTGTATCAAACATCAAGATGTCTAGGATTCGGCATGATGGGGCTGTTTTATAATTTTCTTGAAAAAACAATCGTTACGCGGATATTGAGGATTTGGTCATACACTTCTCACCCATGAAAATATGTGACCATTAAAATATGCTTGCACCTCCCTCTTCGTGTGTGGAACTTTCAATATTGTCAGTAATGTTGAAGGGAATAATGGATACCTTGCTTTGTATTCACTCAGTAGAATATATATTGTTTTTCTATATTTTTCGGAAAAGTAAGTTTAATAGACTGGATGCTTTTGCATCTTAGCAGCGTTATTTTGAGAGGAGTTCTGTAGTTCGCTTACTTCTTAAGGAAGCAAATGTCATTTTCTTAGTGATGAATTTATTTCATTATTCTTCTGTTTAGACAATTTATTTTGTCATTAATATGACCATGTTCAAGTGACGGATTATTTTTATTATAGAGTTACATTACTGTCTCGTACCGTTGCCACATTTTACTTACTTCACATTTTTTCTTCAGGGCAGCAACAAGTGGGAGAGCAGGAGCTAGCTACCAAGATGCTTCAAATCCAGAGTAAGCGGTTCTACATAGATGTAAAACAGAACAGACGCGGGAGATTCATGAAGGTGGCGGAGGTGAGTAGCGCCAATGGCTTCTTATTTCCATTAGCCTTTCAAATACCTAAGTCAGTGTCCAAAATGTTAGGAAGGATACTTTGTGTTTTCCTAATTAATCTGCCGTCCTCTCTACCCAATTGTGGATGCTATCTCCAATAAGCTTGACTTTAGGCATCATGTAATCTGACATTGGCCTAGCAAAATGCACCTTTGTATTGGGTGTTGGAGTCCACAGTTGGAGCTATCATTTTGTTGTTAAATTAGATTGGTTACAGCAGTAGTAGGCTGCTTACCTATTCTGTGAAACCTGTGTAATGGGAACAAAAGTTAGCTGTGTTTCCCTGTCTTAATTCATTGCACAGGATGGTTTTGGTATATCAGGTCATGCAATGTCAGCCTGAGCTGGGGAAACTTCAGTAGAGCGACGAGGATATCGTCACTTTGTACACAAAGGATTTAATAGCTACGGGGATGTTCAACGGTTTCGTTCCAGCAGAGATAGAATTATTATTATTGACGAATTATCTTCTTAGAATAACGTCTCCCCTACACGGGAAGTGTGTCGTGATGAAACAGCGGTTTTATAGAGATTCCTAAGTCACCACGTCTTACTACTAGACACTGTGTCCAGGTATCTCATCCTAGGCTCCTAAAAGCTATTTTATGAAGATTTTAATTATTCGTCTAAAGTTGCTTAAAAATTGGCATAAATAAATATACATTGATATATTTTACAGGATGCGGCATAATTAGCTTTACTGAGAATAGTGAAGTCCCTTTGTGAGTAACAGTTATTGCCCAATCAGTGAAGCCAAATGTTAAAATTATTCTTGATAAATTCTTGATAATGGTGCTAATTGTGTTATATTGGGTGAGCTAATTGGGACGACCTTACTATGTGTCAGGTAGGTAGGGTTACATAACATAAGAACGAAGGAACACTGCAGAAGGCCTACTGGCCCATGCGAGGCAGGTCCAAGTCTCCTACCGGCTTAAGCCAATGCACCCAACCTAGTCAGGTCAGGTCACATTGACTTAAGGGAGGAACACGGCAACCGACCTGGTAGCACAAGCTATGAGGTCCAACTCACACCCACCCACATCCACTCATGTATTTATCCAACCTATTTTTAAAGCTACACAACGTTCTGGCCTCTATAACTGTACTCGGGAGTTTGTTCCACTCATCCACAACTCTATTACCAAACCAGTACTTTCCTATATCCTTCCTGAATCTGAATTTTTCCAACTTACAACCATTGCTGCGAGTCCTGTCTAGGCTAGATATTTTCAGCACACTATTTACATCCCCTTTATTTATTCCTGTCTTCCATTTATACACCTCAATCATATCCCCCCTAATTCTACGTCTTTCTAGAGAGTGCAGATTCAGGCCTCAGTCAATCCTCATAGGGAAGGTTTCTGATACATGGAATCACTTTGTCATCCTCCTTTGTACAAATTGCCAGAGAATTTATAATCCATTCTGTAATACGGTGACCAAAACTGGCAGCATAATCTAAATGAGGCCTAACCAAGGATGTATAGAGTTGAAGAACAACCTAGGACTCCCATTAATTATGCTTCTTGAATGAAAGCCAAGGATTCTATTTGCTTTATTGCGAACACTTATGCACTGTTTTCTTGGTTTCAGATTACTGCTAAACCAAGAAACCCTTAAATCTTTTTCGCAATCCGTAATATTAGATCTACATTATTTAGTTTTATATGCGGCATGGTAATTGTCCTGTCCAACCCATTTAGAACATTGCATTTGTCTATATTAAACTGCATCTGCCACCTTATTCTCCGACCACTGCATCAGTCTATTCAAATCTTCCTGGAGTGCTCAATGTCCTCGTCAGAATTGGATTCGACGGCCCTATTTTGGGTGTCATCGGCAAACTTGCCGAGTCGCTCTTTATTCCATCATCTATGTCGTATATGTCGTTGTGAACAGCAGGGGGCCCAACACGACCCTGTGGAACACGCGCTCGTGACAGCTTCCCCACTCTGGATTTTCTCCCCATTTATGCAAACTCTCTGCTGCCTATTTGTCAACCATTGCTCTATCCAGAAAATAAATTTTCCTCCTATTTCCATGTGCTTTAATTTTCCTTCAATATTCTCCTGATGTAGGACCCCTGTCAAAAGACTTATTGAAGTCCCATACTACAAATATCATATCATTACCATGATCTACCTCCTCAAATACCTAGTGAAAAAAGTTAAATAAATTCGAGGCAGGAACGCCCCTTTTTAAAACCATGCTGAGGATTCCGTTGATTAATTTATGCTTTTCAAGGTTGGCTTACGAACTGCCTCGGCAATTATTGATTCCATAAATTTTCCATTCTATGGAGGTTAGCTTATTGGTCTATCGTTTCGAAGCTAAGGACCTGTCACCGTTTTGAAAATAGGTATCGCATTTGGGGCCATTTTCCACTTACTGGCACCATGCCAGTTTGTAGTGAAATGTTGAATAGATAGCCAAAGTTGAGCTAAGCACCTCTTTACATTCCTTTAGAACCCTTGCATACAAGTTCATCAGGGCCTGGGGATTGTTAGGTTTTTAATTTATCTATTTGCCTAAGGAACCAGTCCACTTGTGACCGCTAATCGTGCACATTTATATTATCGTCCTGTTTCTACATAATTTTAATTCATTACTGGAATATCGCTGGTATCCTCCTGTGTAAAACTGAGAGGAAGTATGTGTTAAAAATTCTACACATTTCCTTAATCACTGTCAGTGAGCTGACCCGAGGAACTTTTGAGTGGGCCATCTTGTCCCCTGATCTACTTCTGTATACCTGAAAGAATCCTTTTATAGGTTAGTCTTCGGATTCTCTTGCAACTTTAACCTCATAATCTCTTTTTGCCTTTTTCTAATTCCCTTTTTATTTCTCTCTTTAACTGAATATATCGCTTTTCTTAAGTTGCCCCTCTCCTCTTTTGATTTGCCTATAAATGCCTCTCGTTTTGACCAATCAGATATTTTTAATCTATTGTTCATCATTTAGGATCATTTTTGTTTGATCTGATTTCCCTATTTGGAACATAATTGACTGATGCTAAGGCTAGACACTTGCCCCTGGAAAGCATCATAATCGGCAACCATCACCACCTACCTGACCCTTAGTCAGGTCATTCCAGTTCAGCCCCACCTAAGTAATTTTTCAGTCCTATGAAATCAGCCAAGCGAAAGTCAGGGACGGAGACTTGATTGCCATTATTAGGGGAATTCATGATATAATAAGAACTGAGTGATTTGTGATCACTTTCCCAGCTCATCATTAACCCAAGATTATTTAATATATTAGTGTTTCCCTATACTGGCAAGAACCAGTCAAGGAGGTTATTTCCCCTAGGTTGCCCTCTGTCACAAACTGTTTTTTAAAAAAAAAAAACAAAAAAAAATCCGGATCGTATCAAGAAAGCACCTGACTCTAAATTTCCTGTACAATTGCTTCCAGTCAATCTGTCTATAGTTGAAATCTCCCATTATCAACAACATTTTTCGTATGTAGATGCCTTACGAATTTCGTCCCAAGAAGTTTACTGCCTCCCTTATCAAGATTTGGGGCCCTTGTAAAATCACAGACGCGAGAAAAGCACCCAAAAATTAGTTTTTTCTTTTCTTATTCCCTTTATTCTCCGGCCCTCGAGAAAGCTGTAAACCAAACAGATTCAGTGGCGACGCCTTCTAATTTAATATCTTGTCTAACAAACAACAATTTAAAATTGTCTCTGACATACATCGCTACACCACCCCCTTTCCTTTTGACCTCTGTCAGTGTGAATAAAATATAGCCTTATATGTGACATTCATAGGGCATCTCCTCTATCTTTCAGATTGAATCCAGGTCACTGTTATAGCAAAAATATCATATTCCTGCACTTGCAATTAAACTTAGCTCATCTATCTTATTTCTTACACTCCTGCTATTAGATAAAGTAAACCTTAAGGAGCTATCCCTTGCTGCCCTCTGCTGTCCCCCCTTCTGTATGCTGACCTGAAACTGTGTCTTATTTATAACTTCAGCAGAATGCCTTTTTAAACATTTACTGTTCCAACCCTAGTGTTTTTTGCAACCTGCATGTTTACCACACACACCCATACCTCTATCTTTCCATCAAGTTAAAATCAAAGCATTTCACCAATGGCCTCTCATCGAGTCTGCAAAGTGCTACCACCCCTGCCCAGAGAGATGTACCCCATCCCTTTGCATACATATCATGTTTGCCATAAAAGTTGTTCCGTTGTCTAATGAATGGATTGCAAGTTCCTTGCAGTATCTGTCTAGCCAGCAATTTACACCAATTGCCCTAGACAACCATTCATTTCCTACTCCCCTTCTAGGCAAGATGCTACATATGATTGGGATCCCTCCCTTAGACTTAATGAAATCTATAGCTGACCTGTACTTATCTAGCAGCTCTTCTCTCCTACCCTTCCCAATATCATTTCCACCAGCACTGAGACAGATAATGGGCTTGTTCCATTACCTGACATGATATTATCCAGCCTGTTGACAATGTCCCCTACACCAGCTCCAGGGAAGCACACTCTATCTCTCATCTTCTTATTCCTATTACAAAAAGCACGGTCAATATATCTTACCTGAGAGTCACCAACCACAAGAATGCGCTTACCTCCATTAGCAGGGGCAGTAGTACCCTTACCTTCACTGGCCACTGAAGTACATTCATCCTGAAGAACAGAGAAGCGATTTCCTACCTTCAGAATCTTCACTCTTAACTTTCCTTACTCTGATGCGCCTCCCATTACTGTGAACCACTCGCCACTTGTAGCAGGTGCTGGGCTGCACCTCACTGCTGGTAGCCTTTGCTACCTCCCCAACTACAGCCTCCTCACAGCGAGAGACAGACTGCACCTCACTGCTAGAAGCCTCATTTCCCACAACTCCAGCCACCTCACACTCTCTCCCAGACCCATTGAGGTGGACCTTCAGCCTCCTAATCTCCTCCTGGAGAAGCAAGACCTCCTCCTTCAACTCTCCAACCTCAATTTTTAAAACACTGCAGAAGCAAGCCATGCTTTGTAACCGTCCACGCTAATCCCCAAAGCAGCTCAGGGTCTGTGACCTCACGTGACGACTGACCACTGACTTTTGTCCCGAGTAAGGAAATTAGATCTAACAAAAATGATCCCAAATGGATGAACAATAGATTAAAACATCTCATTGGCCAAAAGAGAGGCATATATAGGCGTATCAAAAGAGGGGATGGGCTGTTAAGAAATCAGTATATTCAATTAAAGAAAAAAAAAATAAAAGCAAAAAGGGATTACGAGGCTAAAGTTGCAAGGGATTCAAAGACTAACCCAAAAGGGTTCTTTCAGGTATACAGAAGTAAGATTAGGGACAAGATAGACACACTTAAGAGTAACTCTGGTCAGATCACTGACAGTGATAAGGAAATGTGTGAACTTTTAAATACCTACTTCCTCTCAGTTTTTACTCGGGAAGTTACTAGCAAAATTCCAGAAATAATAAATTATGTAGAACAGGATGATAATAAAC